GACATTGATAGTGTCATATTTATTCTCAGTCCTTAGTATGGTTGTGAGAAGCTAAACAGTATCTCACTGATGATAGTGACGTACTGCTTCTTTGCATATCGTCAACTGTACAATGATTTTTAAGAATATCTAAGTTCACCAAAAGTGTTGCTATGTTTTGTCTGAAATCTCTTTTCCATGTTTTTTCTTCAAACACTTGGTGTTGTGAACAGTGTGATAATTCCTCCTAATGGTCACAAAGATAGCTTTGCATATGTGTCTTTAAAAAAATGTTATGTTTTGTCATCAGTAGATCTGTGAACTTATTTGTTCTGACAAGGTACATGACTTGTTTATAAAGTGTTGTTGTTATTGTATATGTACATTTTGTATATCACAGCTACCGGTTATGGACATATATTGAACTAAAAAAAACATCTTTTTTTTATAAACACAGCAGATTAAATTACTGGGAGAGGGTAATAGATATCTTGCCATATACCCAAGATGTTTATTGTTCAGCACAAAAAATAAAGAATTGTTGGTTTTGGTAGTAATGGGTTCATTGTTTAGTGTTTCTTTGACCTTTGTATCAGGAACCCGTGAAGGGCCAGGTTAGAATAGGTCTTCATGCAGCCCATGCCTGCCGTAAAAGGCACCTATGCTTGTCGCAAGAGGCAACTAGCAGGATCAGGTGGTCAGGCTCGCAGATGAATGTCATCGTATCCCAAATTGCGTGGATTGGTGCTCATGATGTCAATCACTGCATTGTCTGGTCCAGACTCGTTCATTTACAGACCGCCATCATATAGCTGGAATATTGCTGAGTGCGGCATTAAACAACAAACAAACAAACTTTGTGTCAGGCTATGTGTCCAGTGGTTTGAGCATTCACTTGTCATTCAAACATTCTGGGTTTGATTCCCCACATGGGTAAAAGTTGTCATGCCCATTGTTAGTGTAATGACTTTTTATCGTGGCATGGTCCTGTGCACAGCACACAGGTCACAGGGCACACGTCTAAAGCTAAGTAACATTGGTTACTGGCAGCTGGATTCCAAGAGTTTTTACCGCTTTGATCCTGGCCCATGCCGAGGCACATGTGGTGTCACCCTAAGCGTGTGGCTTTGTTCGTAATATGCCTCTATTCACCCAGCAGTGAATGGGTACCCGGTAGGATGAGATTTTATCCTTACTGTTAACCTTCTAGCACTTCACAGGTAGCTTGGGTTGTATACTCCCCAGGGAGCTGAGAATGGAAATCGAGTGCACACTGATCCATTGACCGGGGGAAAAATAATGTAGCGCCATGAGCATTCACTTGGTGAATGGAATTTGGTGCATTATAAATGTAATCATTATTAAAAAAACCAAGCTGTGATGCTGGTAGTTCTATCTGGGTGAATGTGAGATGAAAGCCTCCTGAACTGACACACGTAGAACTGTGGTGAAACCAATGTGTACTGGTATACTTGACAGACCAAGAATCTTAAATGGGACAAATCTGTGGGGTGGTCTGGTGGTTAAAGCGTTTGCTCATCACGCCAAAGACCCAGGTTCGATTCCCGACATGGTTGCAATGAGTGAAGCCCATTCCTGGTATTCCCCCCCGTATTATTGCTGGAATATTGCTTAAAGCAGCGTAAAACCATACTCGCTCATTCACTCACTCATTGTGATTCGAACTTGCAATCTGCAGATCCCTGTCCAGTAAGAGGCAACTTTGAACAGGTACCAGTAATTGTGTTTCCCTGGATCATTGGGCCACCCTAGGACCTGTGAAGATCTGGGTCAGAATAGGTCTTCAGCAACCCATGCTTAGCGTAAGAGGGGACTAACAGGATCGGGTGGTCAGGCTCGCTGATTTGGTTGATGCATGTCATGGTATTACATTTGCGTAGATCGATGCTCATAATGTCAATCACTGGATTGTCTGTTCCAGACTCGATTATTTACGTACCACCGTCATATAGCTGGAATATTGCTGAGTGCGGCGTTAAACAACAAACAAAAACTAGAAGGCAATGTACTTTTGAGGCAAAATATATGTACCTCAATTGAAAGGAAGAATTGTGAAATGGAAAATAGTTCCAATGTCGCATATCACCTTGATGGCCTGATACCTGAATATCAAAACAAAACAAAAAAGGTCAAGATTTATAAAGAAATTGTTTATTTGTAACAACTGAAAAAGTATCGAATGAGAGGACTCGGTCCAACAGCTTTGAACCACACTGGCCCAGCTTGTTTTCTCATCAGTCCCCAGTGAAACAAAGAGCATATGAACACCAACTTCACCTGCATGTTATACCAAGAAGTCCTGTAATTTTCCCAACCAAAACTGTACACCTAACAAACCATTTTCTGTATTAAATGTTATTCATTATAGTTGAGAAGTGAGAGTCAACTAGCCATGATGGTCATCACGTACAGTGAAATCTTGCTAGTCCAGATCCCCTGCTCTCCACACAAGCAGTTTCTGGTGTCCAAATGTGGAACAGGTCTCCCAGATGTATAGCAATATGTATGGGGTATCGCTGCAAAACTTGGAATCTTTGTTTCATATCTAGATCAACAACGTATCACTTATCATATTTGAAAACTTTCTCAGTTTGTGTAATTATATTAGTCCTATCGATACCCCCAAACTATTGTGAATCTTTTGTTGCAGCCACAGAACCAGTACAGGTTTGTTTGTTTGTGACGCCTGTATCTGGCTACCTGATTTCTGAAGACCCTGTACCTTTTCCTGCACAAATTTCCTTTTTCCAAAACACAATGATAACCTGTGCCATGAAAAACTGTCTTGAAAACAGGACACTCACAAAGACTCTTGCACTACAGATGGTCATCATGCTTTAACACTTTCTTATGACCATCAAACCAACTTTAATAGGTCACAAATGTCAATATGTTAGTCTAATATGCCTTTGTTCCACCGGGACATAGATGATACCCAAATATTTCAGAGAACCAGGAAGAAGAACTTTTGTTTGCAATCAAACATCTTAATATGAGTAACTTGTAAAGAGATGATTAAAATTCATGGATTTCAATGAACAAAGTTGCCATACCTATTTCAGACTGACTGAAATAAATACAACTCAAAAATGGTCATGATCAACTGGTTTGACTTCTGCCGTGATAAACAAAATGGCCAGACAAGACTGCAAGTTGAAACACTGTAAACATATTCATTTGTTGACAAGACAAGATGCGTGGAGTTGACATCTGCTGTGTGCGCCAGCTGCTGAACAGAGACATCAATCTGACCCAAGTCTAGCCTCATCACTGGGAAGTTCAACTAACAATAAGAGAGTTATTTCAGAGGGTGCCATGTTTATACATGTCATTGACACCACCTAGATATAGAAGGCAGAATCTCGAGACCCTGGTTGTCAATGGACACCTTGGCTTCACTTCATAAAACCAATTATGGCTAGAATACAGAATACTGGGCACCTTCCGCCACAATGTGAATGAGATCCTTCCTTAGTAACTGTTTCTATTTTCTTTTCGCCACCATGTTTGGCCGTCTCGCTAAATTAACACACATACAACAACTTAAAATAAATGCAATCTTAAGTAAATGTCATTTTCAGTTACCAAAGTTCATGAAATGGATGTCCCTGATGAGGTTGCTGTACGCCATTATGGAACTTCTATTTTCAAGTGATATTTCTTACTCCTTATTTAAGCTTCTTATTTTTTTTAAATAAACACAGTGGATGTGTATCCAGTATTTTGTAGTTGTACCCAAATTATGTAAAGAAAGTCGTAACAAAGATCCACAACTGCCATAGCACTCAGACCACATTGTGGACTGGACCCAAACTGATGGCAGACACTGGGGTCCTAGGCCACGTCCACAAAGCAATATTAGTGTTAAGACTATTGCATGACCGTGTAATACAGCACTTAGGACATATGTACAGCTAAGATCACTAACATCAGCCCACAAAGGCCAGAATTAGACTCATAATGGCCCATCTAATGAACATGTGAGGTAAAAAGGATTAGAATTGAGTTGGGAGTATAGAATGGGGATGTTAAACTGTTTGCAATGCCCTGGTCACAGCAATACTTCGCAGGCTTGTGTACACTACATTCTTCAATAAGGGAGATAATGAGAATGGAAGTGCATACAAGCCTGTGAAGTACTGAGGACATACCTCGGTATTCAACTTCATATCATCATTAGTTAGGGCTGGGACAGGTAACTCGGGTACTCCGGTCGGTTGGTTCATGAGTAGGACCCGGATACCCACCGGACTTGCCGGACCCGGATACCCACCGGACTTGCCGGACCCGTGGTAAGTCACGTGATATATTGTTTAATGGTAAAAATTATCTAGAACTTCCACGGTTACACTATGAGTGACTAATGTTCGAATTTTTTTCTGACTATGCACCCATTCCTTCTGACTTTATATGTTTGAATAGAGATAAAACTTCAGTCAACTTCAATGTATGCAAGACTAGATCGTATCTAAAGTATCTAAATACATTTTGCCAGGGCTACGGTCAAACTATTCCCAACCGGACATTTGTACCTATCTCTTTAGACCTACAGCGGGTACCCGGGTAGGGTCGGGTAATATTGGGGTGGGTACAAGGGTAGTAAATTTGGACTTGTCCCAGCCCTATCATCAGTATCAAAAATGTAATTTTATTTTTTTGGTATGTCCACAATGGCCATGAAATAACATGTCCACACAGTTTCAACTCAAGCGAAAGTATTTTGTTCTTGTTATTCTGTAATCGTAAACTAGGGACCAAACATGCTAAAGGCAAAATTGTGTTCAAAGAATAGTTGAAGATATAAAAAAAACTGACGTTATGGAACACATAGTAAAGTTGAATTTTACTCAGGTTGACACCAATACAAGCATTCTGCATCCTTATCACAGAGGGTCAACCTTGAACCTTCATCACCAATCTTCCCACATTCACCAATCTGGGAAATCAAACTAGGTCCTACAGCATAGTAAGCAAACACATAAACCACTGGGCTACCCAACTGGGATGGATATAATGCATAGGCTAGGCATAAGAGACCACACTAAGGTCAGACTGATCTACACATATACTACTAAAAAGAAGTCAAGGAACACTCGATTCTTTCATATTACTATAGTTAATCTGTCATGGAAGTAAGGGCCACCCAGTGCCATGACAGATTGACTCTAGTAATAGGAAAGAATCGGCTGGTCCGTAACTTCTTTCGAGTAGTATAAGTAATCGAGTAACTGGTGATATTATGGCTTTGGTCGGCATTGAATAGTGATATTATTGACATACACAATAGTATCAAAGTAATGAGGAACTGGATACGGGGACCAAGTCTACAATCTGTACAGCATTAGTTACTGCTACTCCTCAACAACATCCTGACAAAAAAACACTGAAGGATAAATAAAGAGAAAGTATGGACATACAGAATGGTACCAAGTCGTACTGCATGTAGTCAAATATTACAATGCAAATTTTGGTTTATGTTATTTGCAATGTCTATCTAATTTAATTACACACCCGTTCTTACAATAAAAAAATTCTAGCATTTGATTCGTGTAGGTTCTAATGCATGTGAGAGCATTTCCTGAAAACTGTCGACGCCATGGCAACGGTGTCTGTACCCATTGATTCACAGATTCAAGTCCTCAGGGGGCAAATATGGTAATGAGAAAAAACAGGACTATTTACGGATTTTCATACTGCATGCTAATTCAAAATTTGATCACATAATTATTAGAGAAAAATATTGAAACATGACATAGGTAAATATTAAAGGTTAGCATGCTCAGCTCACAGCAACCCGTCCAAGACAAATAAATAAGAATTGGTCTAACTGTTAGTTCTGTTAAATGACAAGCTTGTTCGAAACGTTGAAAAAATGTTGTATGAAATTGTGGTCAACAAATAATACCAAACTTGTCGCACTTAACAAATTAAAAACTTTTAACATTTGTTTCAAAAACATTTTGAAGACTTTCTACATCCTGTCTTACATGACACTTGAATGACAACATTAGCAGAAACTTATTTCAGCTTCATGGTGAACAAACCACCCTATCTGTAACCCATGACGTATGTCTGAACTACACATTCTAAAATATTAAGTATTGATAACTGATTAAGAATTCTAAAAAGCATATCAATATGGATAATTTGGACAATATTATTGACATATAAAATGTCAAATGTCAAACCTCCACTAAAAATAGTTATTGGATAGCATCTAAAGTATATCTTGAAGACCAAATTGCAAATATATTAACATGGTAAATATAACTTACATCATGTCTACATTTGAGTTAACAAAATATATAAGTTTTTGGTATGCTCCACCCATAACAAACAAAATAAGATGGGTCTGTCTTCTTTTCTGCCAGCACATCTCATCATACAACAAACCTTGGTCTCATTCAAGCACACATCACGATTATCAACAGAAAATCAAAGGAACAAAAAATAAAAACATTTACCAAAATATTGTGTCCATACAATATTGTTATGTGCAGGATGGACAGTGCCAAGGATTACCTCCCTTTTCACAAACAACATTCAGAAATAACCCACTATACAGATGTATTTCTTAACTGCTGCTGTTAAATTTATACATAATTAGCAATATTTAAAAAACTGTTGAAATGGACAAATATTGGTACCATCTAAGACACCTGGTATCTGTATGGCAGAGAAAGCTAGCTTCATGAATCATGTGGTTACACAACACACAGTCTATACATACAATAATCCACCACTAGCAAATGCACCACTGGTGAACAGAAGCCCATATCTAGGTGTGACTTCATGTACAATTATATATCACAACATTCTATGATATATCTCATATGTACATATTAAACATCATAATCACCGGATGTAATTGCATGTCATCATTGTGTCAACCTAACTGACCTTTCTGAACACAAGTCACCTGTGAACACATGGGCTCTTTTACCCACAATTCTCCTCTCATCTCCACGGTAACGGCTCAAATGGGCTCAGTTGTCGGCCTCTGCTCATCTCCACCTGCAAACCCTTACAATATACAGGGCTGCTTTGGTGTATCAGCAAGGCTGCAAAACTGACTTGCCGTGAGGCAAAATATCACTTGCGAGTGATAGAATTAAAACCCAACAAACGGTACCTCCATACCTCATGATACTGGCTCAGCTTTTACTGTTATAGTCTGAACCCCACTGCCAAATCGCACTCTCTTTTTCTTCATAAGTGGGGAGGAATCTAACGAGGCTGGTCTGAACTGCAACGGTGGTTTCGGAATGTTGGTTGTGTTGGGATAGGCAATTCCGTGGTCTGCTCCTACTGGCACACTAGCACTAGTACAAAGTCTTTTCTTCAGAGGTTCGTCATTAGCCGGCTCAGCACACTCCACCCGCGCCTGTCTCTTCAACGCTGGACTGGCTGGTTTCAGTGACGACTGCTTATTGTCACCGATAGTTATCAACTTGTTTTCCCCACCGAAGGAAATTGTGTTCTGAATGTTAACCGCACCACTCCTTATCTCGGGCATCGAGTCAGCTTTTAGGTTGGGACTTCTCGTACCAGCGTGCGGCAAAGCCTTACTGATTTCGGCTACAGTTGATTCCGTTTTGTCTGGATTCTTTTTAAGACTGTCACACGCACCCAAGAGGGCAGCAATCTCGGCAACGTCCATGTCATTCTCGGAGTAGAATATTCTGTCCGGCAGTTTTTCCTGCATGGGCTGCTCCTTCGAGGATTTCTTGTGTAGCAACAGCTGCATATTCTCGCTCAGACCAGACACCAGCAGTGCGTCGGCCGAGGGAATGGTCACCTTCAGCGGGGAGATATCACTGGACGAGCAGTGGGTTCCGCCAACTGAGTCAAACTCTACTTGCTTAATGGAAATTCCCTGCATGAACGATAAACCATCTTGCTTGTCGCTACGTGCTGATTTTTCATTTTTCTTCTGCATGGGTGAGTCCAAACTGGTGGATGAGAATTTACCAGGTCCGTTTTGTTTGAACTTCTCTTTTATTGAGGTCATTTCTTGATCACTGACTTTGCTCTGAGAGTTGTCTGCCCCTTGACCATTCATCCCTTCCACCGCCACCTCCTCCTGGTCGACAGGGCTACACAAGACAATCAGCTCTGAAACAACAGATCAACATCACAAACTGGTATTAATTGTAATTTATATTCTGCCCTAAGACAAAAATACCTTGTTAATCTTCCTATGCCTACTCATTACAGTAATTCTCATGTAATAAATATTCTTAGTAATTATAATGAGCAAACATTATTTCTAGTTTGTAAATTCTTATATTATGCTCACAAAATAATTAATGATAAATTCTGTGCCCTGTAAATGTCATGCTCACATGTCTGTATTTTGGGCCATTGGCCTTTTACTGAATAAACATGTCTGTCTGTCTGTCTGTCTGTCTGGTATTAAGATATTTCAAACAATTTCATGAGTAAGTACGGATAACAATGTTTAGACAAGTGTTTTAACTTTCACTGTCACAAACATGTTTGCTTGTTTTAACACCACACTATATATTCTAGCTATATGATGGTGACCTGTAAAAAATGGCCCTGGACCATATATCTAGTGATTGATATTGTGAACAACAATCTACACCATCGGGTTCCAACAACATGCAATCAACCAAATCACTAAGTCTGACCACCCAATCTTCTCTTACGACGAGCAACGGTTGCTAGGGACCTACATCACAACAGGGCAAACACATATCAGCAGTAATGTGTGGTGTTTGATTTGCTTGTTTGTTGTTTAACGCCGCACTCAGCAATATTCCAGCTATATGACGGTGGTCTGTAAATAATCGAGTCTGGACCAGACAATCCAGTGATTGACATCGTGAGCATCGATCCGCACAATTGGGATACTATGCCATGCATCAACCAAGCCAGTGAGCCTGACGACCCTATCCTGTTAGTAGCCTCTTACAACAAGCATAGTGGCCTTTTACGGCAAGCATTGGTTGCTGAAGACCTATTCTACCCCGGATCTTCACAGGTCGCACATATTTAAGCTGTAATGTGTGGCGTGTGAGGAGAAAACAAGACAACCAGGGTCTCGTTCCACAAAGCGATCTTAGCGCTAAGAAGACTGTAACTCCAATACTTTAACATGGGCTTACGACAGTCGTAGCGCTAAGATGACTGTAACTCCAATACTTTAACATGGGCTTACGACAGTCGTAGCGCTAAGATGACTGTAACTCTAATACTTTAACATGGGCTTACGACAGTCATAGCGCTAAGATGACTGTAACTCCAATACCTTAACATGGGCTTACGACAGTCGTAGCGCTAAGATGACCGTAACTCCAATACTTTAACATGGGCTTACGACAGTCGTAGCGCTTCCATTGCTTTGTGGAATGGGACCCAGGTTATAACGGGTAACACTTCTGCAAAACACATGAACATGGGTATGGTGCTGACAGACAAAAAAAAATCACAGCAAATATTGGATGGGAACCTTGCAGGGTCTTGCTTCTTCGCACAGACAACACCTCAGACCATGGTGGTCATCCATATTTACCAAACTCTCTCTACAATTTTTACGACCAACATTGAAACATGCTTGACATAACTGGTATACAATATTTGTATGGATAACACAACATGGATGACATGGAAATCAAGCCTACCTCCTTGGTGGTATTCCACTCGAACAGTTTTCAGCCAGTCAGCAAACTTCTTGATGTCCTTTACAAGTAGGCCACGAATCAACTCCAAAACCTTCATCTTGGCTGATCTCAAACCTGGAACAATGGTCATCATGCTGGTTAATAACAACTCCGTGCAAAACCATGGCAACCATTCGCTAACTTTCATAACAGCCTGTAATCATGAAAATACATCATCATAATCTGAATCACCCCTGAAAATTGCGTTGTGATGAACGTTGGTTCATGTTATATTTTTAACATGACCGTGTCTGCCACAGGACTACCTGGACCCGTGGTTAGTCATGTGATATATTGTTTAATGACAAAAACTTACTATAGCTCAGTGGTTACACTACAAGTTGCTAATATTCGCAATTCTTTTCCAACGATACATTCCTTTTGACTTGTATATGATTGAGTAAAGATAACGCTTCAGTCAACTTCTGTGTACGCATGATCTGATCGTTTGATACATGTATCTAAATAGTTTGGGCCAGAACTGAGGTAAAACAATTCCCAATCAGATATTTTGTTCCCAACACTTGAGACCTGCACTGGGTACCCTGGTAGGGTCGGGTAATAGGGGGTCGGATACCCGGGTAGTAAATTTGGACTCGTCCCAGCCTTAATTTGAGGGTTATAACTCTGAACCAGATCTCAATGGTTCAGTTATGCTACAAACTGAACTGTATAAAACTGACAGAAATATAAACATAGTAAACATTTGTGTCTTGTTGAAGCAGGACTAGCTACAAACTCTGAGTGAGTGATTATGGTTTTACGCTGCTTTTAGTAATATTCCAGCAATATCACGGCAGGGGACACCAGAAATGGGCTTCACTCATTGTACCCATGTCGGGAATCGAACCCGGGTCTTTGGCGTGACTATCGAACGCTTTAACCACTAGGCTACCCGACCGCCCCTTACAAACTCTGAGGATTAGTTAAATAAGGCTTACACTTCTGGACTAGTCAATCAATCATCAATCAATCTTTATTGTATGAAAGGCCATTGGCCCATATACACATACAGATAAACAATATCATTTACAGCTGTACAGCGCATTATATAATTATTGGATAACTAATATGATGCTTGACATGTAATAGAGGTATTGTTATAACAGTGGTAATAACCACAGTGGCAGCAGTAGTAGTATAAAATACAAAGGAATGGAATGGAAATATGAAGTTTTACGTCGCAAAGGCTTTCAGCCATAGCGCGACGTTCAATACAAAAGGATCTATCAGTAATATATTCATCATGTCAAGACAATTTGACAAATCTTACAAAACTCATTTCTGAGGCTGATTATATAACAAATCAAATAAATATTTGGGTAATACATGCTTTGCAGGTCACTGTCTTTATCTGGTTTTCAAGGCAGGACATGAAACATCAATACCAAAAAGATATCTGCTTACAATATCTAATGAGGTCAGGTCCACATGGTCCAGGGGCATAAATTAAAGTGACAAAGATAAATGATGGGACCAAAAAAAAAAGTACAGATATAGGTCAGTAGGTGCGTAGGTAGTTTTAACAAAATATTAACCAGTGATTCAAAGAAAAATAATTCTCAACCAACATGCCCTATTTTGGGCATGTTGGGATGGAATGAAATAAGAAATACACATTTCTTTTGTGGGACCTATTGTCATGTTGATTTATTGAAACACAAGTATTGGAGGTAGGTGTAGCCTTAGAGACAACTGTCGACAAGCAGTGACAAAAATTGGCTCTGGTCCTAATACTCCTATAGTCCTTGCCAAATGGTTGAGGTATCATAAGGACTAGTAGAAATAAGATATTTTTAAGGCGTTTGTTATCTGTAATCATTGTAATGACTAGTGGACTAAAAATGTTGGTTTCTATTGCTGGTATTTGGTTTAGGTATTTTGACATTGTGTCCTTCCTTCAACAATACCTTCAGCATACTCACCAACAACGCTCTCGTCCGTTGGATCATCATCTGGGGATTCTGAATCTAGCGACGAACTGTCTCCTAGCGAATTATCATCCGCAAATGAATCATCTTGTGACAACACATTGGGCACTCGCACTGTCCTCTCAATGTTCAACGCATCTGTGCATATTGTTTCAATAAGAGGAATGTAGGATGGACGAATCGAGTGGTTTGTGTAGTTTTCCTTCACTCCAGCTGATATGGATATCCTCTGCATGATTTTACTCAGGGTGGAGTTTCCAAGTGGGGTATTGTCAAACCACACGTAATCAGACTGGGATACACTCCGCTTTGGACGTTGCCAGAACGCTTCAGTCATGGGATGGAGATGTGTCAGGTACCTCAAGAATGATGCTACTGGGCAACGAGGGTCTCCTGCAAGACAGTCATATCATTTACATACCAACTGTGAAATAACAGTAAGACTTCCGCCCGTATCCCCCTGAAAAATATTTATGACTACAAGGATTGAGCGGAAATGTATACAAATATCCCTTGGGGGGGGGGGGGATATACGGGCGGTAGCCATTTACAACAGGTCATCAACCATGTTAATATCAATTGAAGGTATGATGAGAATGATTTTTAAAATCAATTAAAATCCTTCCCATCATATGTCTTAAGTTTCCTAAGTATGTCTGAAAGAACACAATTGTATATAACACATGTTTAAACAAAGCGTCATAACTTTTGATTTCTGATCTTGTGAAATTATTATATCTGTTTGTCAACTATACAACAAAACAGGATTACAGTTAGGTAAAAGTTTCACTCAAACCACCCACCTATGTAACCTAGTTATTACTAAGGATGACAATATGTCCTAGGTGTGGGATGTGGGTGGAATTCTTTCTCAATAGTGCTGTCACACAAGATTCCGTGATTATTTCACAATATCACTCAGCCATTTGAACCTAATTATTATTGTATGTCATATTAGTATGTAGGCTGTGAACTAATCTCCCATAGGCTTGGTTGCTCCAGTGGGTGATAAGATTGATATCTAACTTCGATGACATCACAATGAGGAAAATGACAGTGACCTACCTGGCCTTTCAAGCATCTTCTCCCCAAGCCTTGTTCCTGTGTGATCTACGTCACCGTAGCCACCCATCTCCTTGATGTTGAACTTAGGGTGGTATTTTAACCAAACACTTTTCCTTCCATCAACTTCTGTCGACACTACAAAATCATTTTTAGTCATGGCCCTCATACAGTCTTTTCCTCTGTTGACAATGTATAAATTCACATCGAAAAACACCTTATTTTGTAGCGTTTCGGGGTTGTCGGTTTTCATTGCATCACTGAAATATATTTTCCTCAAATCATCCATTTCTATTCGAAGTCTATGACACTTGCGTGGTCCCATTCGAACTGCCATCTCATAACAAGCGTTGGCATTTTCAAAACTTTTGTCTTTGATAATGTCTATTCCGGTCTCCTTCATGAAGTATTTCTGTAGACCGAGTCTGATATCCTTCAAACTGACAGTCGATCTGACCGGCCCCTCCTCAAGCTTGGTCCTAACCTTACCATAAAAATCTCTGAGAAACTCCGACAGTTGGTGAGGGGGCATGTGTGTAACACTGTGAATGGTGTGTCCTTTCGTCATAGCGTATAACACTAACTGGTGTGTCGCCGAACCTATTAGGCTTTCCGTTTCACCATCAAAACTAGTCTCGGAAAAGTCCTCGGATGAACGACTGCTCAGTGATCCTGAGTGTTGTCTCTTTTCCATTTTGAAGTCGAACTTACTCGTCGTAGCTTGAGCCATCTTGTTGCTCAGATGATGACGTCACACGATCCGAACATGGAAGGGTCTGACGTAGGTGTTTTTACGGAGACATTGACATCAAGCGAATGAATAATAGATTAAGAACACAATGTCATCACTTCGAATGTAGGTTTTCAAATAAAGTGTTCACAACGCTGCCGAAGACAGTTTACACACAACTGTGACAAAGTGGTATATCGAGGAGATCGTTAATGTAGTTTGGTTGAGTGTACTCACTCCCCTCCCACGATGGACTGGCCCAACTACGCAAGTGTTTCAATTCGTCACAGTGGTATGAGTCAGCGCGCACCGACTTCCGGGGGAATAAAACTCATAACAGCTCAGCTCCGACCTAACAAAAGTATGACGTCATTGCCACGCCACTTGACAACGGCTAGAAATAGAGAGAGCGCTTAGTGGGTGAGCGTGATCGAAACTGTCGTGTGGAGCTCGCCGTGTTCTGACGTCAGAGCAGAAAGCTGACACAAACAGCTTGTGACCGGCTTTATCATTGATCAGTGGTTGGACGCTGAACTATCGCTTGTACCTACTATTTCTTGCTTGCCGCTCCGTCTTGGGTTGAATTTTTACTATTGACCACATATACGGGTCACATTCTTTGTCCGGTATGTTATTGTATTTCCTCTTTTCCCGTTACCGGTCACGGTTCGCTGAATTTATTATGTCACCGTTGTCACGTGAATACGGAGGCTGGGAAATTATTGATTGCGTTTTATATGCCCGCGATTCACGTGTTGTTCATGTCACGTAATGGGATTATGTCACGCGGGCGTTGTATGTGTCATATTTACCGAACAGAACATTCCTGTACATCATAGTCATTGAGACTAGATATATGGCTAAGTTTGTCCTTTTATATTTTTTCTACCTGTGTTCGAGAAATGCTGTTTGAATGTTAAGACTATATGAACTGGTTTCATGTCAGACCTATTTTCTTGACAAAGCTATTTACATATATTCATTGTAACTTAAGCATTCCAGTAAATGCGTCATAGTTGATTGAGGTTATTAGGACCTATAGTTGATAACTAGTTATTATCCTACATTTGAACAAACAAAAAGCATGGAGGTATCGGATGATAGATTCATCAAATGATATTCACCAAACGCCCGGAGAACACCCCAGCGACAAATGACATTTAGCGACGCGCCTGGTATTGACGTCAGTTGGCGCGGTCTGACGTCATCACTCACGCGCGATCACCAGCCACTAATGTTGATGTTGCTAGGAGATAATAACTGTAAATACAACCAGTTTCGCGGGCATCTCTGTTCCCTGCTGTAAACAAAACTTAAAATATATGGTATCGTCATCGTTTAATATTCAGTGTTTACATATATAATTTTATGTAAAACGAAATCATATGTTATAATTAAAGGCAAGACTTACTTTCAGTTTACTATATTATTTTGACTCATCTTGTGTTGAAATCAAGATTGTTTAAAATATTTGCTGAGACTCGTGGCCTTTGTCTTCAAGGACACTGTATGGGGAAGAAAAGAATTATCAAATATCCACAAACAACATCATTTACTGCCGAACACTTTATTTGAAGGGACGACGATGACGTCAGAACTCATCAATTGACATCACAATGACGTGGTTATTGACGTCAGTGGGATATTAGCGTGGTCGGCGCTGAGTCAGAGATTCTTGGAAATTAAAGACGTATTGTGATTAATATCCTTAACTCAATTTGGGATGTCACCGGGGTGGTGGTGGTTGGGGGATGGGGAGATAACCTTGAAGAAGATAAATTAATTATGGCGGAATGTCAAAATTGAAATTAGGTATACCTGTATATGTTGACACGGTTACACTAAACGATTATTTATAGTTGGAAGGGAAGTCGAGTTGAAACCCAGTGAACACACGAGAGCAAGTAAGTGCGAGCGGGGCCGGTGAACACCCTGTGTATGTCTGCCTGGTCGATACGCGTTGCCGCGCTCTCTACAAACACACACCGATCGAGTTCTGACTTGTTTACATTGAATGGTATATATAATGGCGGCCCAGTGGTGTGGTGCATGGGGTTGTCTGGTGGGCGTTACTTACACTATGTAGGTAGTACGGTTTGCGCGTGATCAATGATTACAGGTGAGTTGTGGCTGTCGATGGAGCGTAATTACTGCGCATTATCGGACTGACAGTCTACTGTGTCATTGTGTTATTTGACCCGTGAAGATCAGGGGAGAATAGGTCTTCAGCAACCCATGCTTGCCGTAAAAGGCGACTATGCTTGTCGTAAGAGGCGACTAACGGGATCGGGTGGTCAGGCTCGCTGACTTTGTTGATGCATGTCATCGATCCCAATTACGTGGATCGATGCTTATGATATCAATTCCTGGATTATCTGGTCCAGACTCGATTATTTACAGACCGCCGTCATATTGCCGAGTGCGGCGCTAAACAAACAAACAAAAACATTGTGTTATTTGCGGTTACTTCATCACCGGATATATAACTGCTTGGAATCCTGCCGTTTTCGTGAATGACCGTTGCTGCATTTGTAAACTCGCATTAGTATATACCGTGAGTCGACGGGTATTACAACCTCGATTATTCAGAGTATTATATCTCCCTCCAGATAAATACCCTATATACCACTTAGCTTCGTTTCGGAAGTGACGTTGCAGTATATATTTTTCTTTTCACGCTTCTCAAACAGACCAACACAAGCAGACCTGTACACGATATCTTAAACAGAGATATCACAAGGATATCGCTACCACGTTCTGGTCATGCCGCTGATTTAAGATCTTATTTTATTGGTGTGAGGGAAAATACTCAGCAACTGCGAATACGCCTGTGCCCCATAATGAGCGTGTGAATGTTGTTATGCATACAGTAGGCACTGATAACCATCAATAGCATAGCGCGACATGTAAATACAACTGAACGATCAATGTCGTCGCGAATACTGCAAGATTGCTGTTGTGGCAAAAACAGCATTTGTGCTCTCACTCCAACGACCCACGCTGGCGGAGTACGATGGTACACATTCTGCCAGGTCACACGCGTACTGAACCAACTCATTGCATGTCCGACCCGTGAAGATCCGGGGTAGAATAGGTCTTCAGCCATCCATACTTGCCGTAAAAGGTGACTATGCTTGTCGTAAGAGGTGACTATAGGGATCGGGTGGTCAGGCTCGCTGACTTTGTTGATGCATGTCATCGTATCCCAATTGCGTGGATCGATGCTTATGATGTCAATCACTGGATTGTCTGGTCCAGACTCGATTATTTACAGACCGCCGTCAATAGCTGGAATATTGCTAAGTGCGGCGTTAAACAACAAAGAAACAAAATCCAAGCTGTTACCACACACGTGGGGTATTTGGAGTGAATGCGGCTCACCAGGAGAATGTGCTTATAATACAAAGGCGTTTGCAACACCGAAACTGATTGGTATAAATTATTTTCAGAGATGAACCTCTCATATTTATTTATTAAACGAGTCAAAACTGTAACTTAAAGTATGTGTATGACGACACTTGCGCACATGCAAGTTTGCATCAACTATGTATATGATGCAATGTACTATTGGGAAATCTGGGTATTTGAATACATTGAACTAATCGAAAAAGTTCATTTAAATTTTCTTAAACTGGCAGCAGGTCTTCGAAATGCAACACCAACATATATGATTTATGGGGAACTCGGAAGGGAAACCCCCACTATCAAAATGTAATGTATCAAACGTGTTATTCTATTCTGGCATAAAATGACAATCTATAATCAAACTCCAAAAATAACAAATATTATTTATAAGTTTACCACTCAGAACAACGCTGGCATCTCTGAAAAACTTCCATGGACAACACTTGTCAAGAAAATATTAAACAACTGCGGACTCGGTGAAATATTTGACAACCCGTTAATGTGTTCTTCCTGGCTAGCCTTAAAAGTTGAAGAAATATTGAAAGACCACTTCCTGCTGAACTGGCACAGTTCCATTTCTGATAGCTCTAAAGGTATGTACTATAAAGCGTTAAAAGAAAATATCCCCTTTGAGAAATATCTTTATCTGCCTAAAACGTTAATCACCCAATCTTAAAATTTAGAACGACAAACCATAATTTACCAATAAAATGGACGCTAGTCTGATATCCGGCCAAGAGTTCTCCTGCGGTTGGCGACGAGTTTCATTAACTATTTAGATATGAAGCCCATCTTCAGTGGCGGTCTATGTATACAAGCCTATATAAAGATCTCTCCGAATCGCCTAATGTGTATAAATTGAAAAAAAATGTCTATCCATCCTTAGAGTAAAAGATGTGAAAAAATTGTCCAATTCATCAATACCATCTTTAGAAATGTTGAAGCCGGTAAAAAACGTGTATGAGATTCTTGTCAATTTGTACTGACACATTTCATTGTTACCTTTGATCCCTATATGTATTTGCACAATACTCCTGTCATATTATTATTAGTATTAGTATTATTATTAGTAGTATTATTAGTATTATTATTATAATATGATGATGATTAATTTATATTATAATTTATCTCATGTAGCACCGTTGGTGGGTTTCTCTGAGAGATAAACTGAACTTGGCCCCGTTCCTCAAAGCGATCTTAGCACAACGATGATCGTAAACCTATGTTAAAGCTAGTATGGGACTTACGATCACCTTAGTGCTAAGATCGCTTTGAGGAACGGGGCCCCGAACTGATAGAGATGGACGAAACAGTCTATAAATTAGTATGCTGGGTAAACACCACTCACATGTTTGAATAGCTGGATCCATTTACGACAAACACACGAGCATTCGTGACCACTCATGTTATTCCGGGACTGACCGATGGTTACGGAAATGGACGCGGGTAGCTGAAGGCAAACGAGCATCTGTGACCACTCGTATCATTCCGACGCAAGGAGCGAGTGGGGACGAATGGGCACTATTCGTGACCAACTCGTGTTATTCCGAGACAAGCCGAATAGTTACGGTTAGGGGCGAGTGGTGACGAATGGAAGGGGCACGATGTTATGACGTCAGTGGCATTGTTATGTCATTATGACGTCATACCGATGAAAGTGTTTGAAAACGGTGAGCGTCATACAAAAGTCCAAACTTGATGCCTACTTTCAGGTATGGACACCCCTACCGCCAAGGACAAGCATATACAAGCAGTCCTCCGCTCTATCCTCAACCATGAAGACAGCACCAGTCTCAGGAACTCAATAGACAAGTGTTCCCCGGGAGCTCTGCAAACATGGCGGGATAGTAGTGACCTTGACCTTCTCCACCACGCTATACTGACCAACAACGTGGTGGCAGTAGGTACGTTATTCTCCAGGGGGCTGTTCAAGACGCCACACGAACCTAACCGTCACCCCTACCTCCACCTCGCGTGTCACCTTGGATACAGGTCTCTCGTCATCATGCTGCTTCAGGAGAGAGCAGACGACAACAAGCCAGCACTATTTGACTTTCCAGGAGTCAAAGGTCAAAATGTGAAAGGTGTAGACACAGATAGTGATAAGAAAAAAATGACGCCCCTAGACGTGGCGGCAGAGGCATGCCATCTCACGTGTGTGAAAGCCATTTTGGATTTCTGTCCGACAGGAAGTAAGCCAACCAACAAACAAAAATCCGAGAGTTATACAGATCTTGCCTGTAAACTGGACTCTCCCAGTGCCCTTCGCTTACTTCTGTGCGAGAACCCCTCTCAAGCCGATCTGCAAAAAGCAGTCGCCCTTGCCCTGAAGATGGCGCGACCCGAATGCCTGGACGCATTGCTTCGTTATGACATCGATCAAAAGGTTGTGTTTGGCGGGATGAATTTCTTTCATGTACTGTTCACATATAGCTATTCATTTGACAAGTCATGGTACGAATCTCTCGTGACAGTGACGTCAGTATTGTTGCGTCATGGGCACGCGATCCACGCGTTTTATCCCTCCAGGACATTTCCTCTGTACAGCTTGCTGAGTCGCACCCACTTCCATGACCTCGAACGATCAGCACCCTATCGAATCGCTTGTCTGCTGCTACTATTAAATGCTGGAGCGGATCCTAATTTTGATGAAATGAAAGTAGAGGAGCTTGTCAATGAAAATGAGTATGAAACTGCCTTTGGTAGAAAGGCCTACTCATCTGCGCTTCACAGTCTGTTTGACACTATGTCTGCGTACGTTACTGACGACTGTGACTCGGACACCGTCTGCATGTTTATGTATAAAAGTACAGACATCCTCCTGAATCACGGGGCAGACGTGAACTACGTTGGGAAGACTGGGAAGGAGCGTTACGGCTCCAGTCTCCACGCCCTGGCGGACACAAGCAGACATCTTGGCATCCACAAGCAGACGCTGCTTCTGCTCCTACGGCATGGCGCCGATCCGAACATACACGCGGACTGCTTGCCGTTGAGTTACTTCTGTGAAGTTCTTTATGGTGACGTCACGACCTTGACCGAAGACATGACCGTTCAGGAACTAGGCGACTACAGACGACTGGGGCCGTTACTGAAAGGGATGACTCTGACATCTCTACAGGAAACTGAGAAATATATCAGACAGCTAAAAGATGACACAGAGATGAATTCTCGTGGGAGCTCCTGTTTGGGCGTGGTGCTGGAGGAGGTAGAGACTTATACAAGGAATGTATGGAGCCTGAAGAGGCTCTGTATGCAAATAATATGGGCTAACGCTGGCAGGAAGTTCAAAAACGTAGGTTGTCTCCCCTTGCCATTAGTTTTGAAAACTGAAATACTCGCGGAGATGATGTGAATGTAATTAACATGTGTTTTCATGTAATATGACCCATTTTAAGAGTTCTGTTTACACCTGACTTCCTGAAGGTTGGTAGTATCGTGGTCAGTCACGGTCTGTCGGGTTTTAGACTTAACACGACCATGACGAAATTAGCAACCTGCCGGGGTGTATTCCCCTACAAGAGGTGCGGTATTGCCACGTATATACAATATACGTGTTGCAGGGGTAGTTCATGATGAAAAATGAGAAGCTGCGGTTGTGTTTGTTGAGGTGACATTTATTCCATGATTTATCAATCACTTCCTGACCACCCTTCAATAAAATGGACCAACCGCTTGAACTCTTGACCCAAGTTTGTGCTACAACTAATGAAGATATATACAACTACTTGAAATGAAAAAGATAAAACTATATTCCTAAAAACTATATATATACAATATCATGTTACATACGTCAGGATAACAACTGTTACACGGCAACAATGTCACAATTCTCTCACCTTTCATGAGTGAGTTATGGTTTATAGTCACATCGGCAATATTTCAGCCATATCGTGACTCACCTTTCATGGCGATGCATGGGTGACACAATCATGCCAACATGCTTCCGGAAAGCACTTAGTGCGAATACCTTCCGTCGGGGCACCGGGAATAATTCTTTGAGTATCATGAACTGAGTTCATGAGCTGTTCCTAATCATGCACTCATCACGAGATCCCTTTTTTTCATAAGTATATTGTATATACACAATTTAATTACACATATACAATGTGGAAATAAGAAGTTTGAACAAAAGTATATCTTGCAACTTGGTTTGTTTGTTGTTTAACGCTACACTCAGCAATATTCCAGCTGTATGACGGCGGTCTATTATTAATCGAGTCTGGACCAGACAATCCAGTGATTGACACCATAAGCATCGACCTACGCATATGGGATACGATATGACATGCATCAACCAAATCACCTAGCCTGACAACCCATTCCCGTTAGTCGCCTCTTACGACAAGGGGGCACGGGTGGCCCAGTCGTCTAAGGCGCCGCGATTCGCTGTGCAGAGTTGCGTCCCTTGCGCACGCCAGAAACCTATGATTGTGGGTTCGAATCCCGGTTCGCCCCGATTATGTTTCTAGGTTTGTCAGCACCATACCCGTGCTCGTGGGTTTCACCGAAGTGGTTAACGTCTGAGACCTGCATCACTTCGGGCTTTCCTCCCACATTAAGCTGACACGCCGCGATATGACTGGAATACTGTTAAAAGCGGCGTTAATCCAAATTCACTCACTCACTCACTCTTACGACAATCATGGGTTGCTGAAGATCAATTCTAATCCGGGTGTTCACGGGTTTGCTACTTGGTGCCCTCTACATTGCCACATATATTAAAATGAACATTGACTGTACGAACCACTTTCTTTGTTTGTTGTTTAACGCCGCACTCAACATCATGACGGCGATCTTAAAAAAACCGAATCAGGATCGGACAATCTAGTGATTGATACGCAAAATGGAATCTGTTTCGGGGGATTATCTAGACTGGTTATTCTCTTGCACGGAAACAAGCACCTGCTGATGTTCACAGGACGTACAGAAACAAACACCTGCTGATGTTAACAGGACGTACAGAAACAAGCACCTGCTGGTACGTGTTAACAGGACGTACAGAAACAAGCACCTGCTGATGTTAACATGACGTACAGAAACAATCACCTGCTGGTACGTGTTAACAGGACGTACAGAAACAAGCACCTGCTGGTGTTAACAGGACGTACAGAAACAAGCACCTGCTGATGTTAACAGGACGTACAGAAACAAACACCTGCTGATGTTAACAGGACGTACAGAAACAAGCACCTGCTGATGTTAACAGGGCGTACAGAAACAAGCACCTGCTGATGTTAACAGGACGTACAGAAACAAACACCTGCTGATGTTAACAGGACGTACAGAAACAAGCACCTGCTGATGTTAACAGGGCGTACAGAAACAAGCACCTGCTGATGTTAACAGGACGTACAGAAACAAGCACCTGCTGATGTTAACAGGACGTACAGAAACAAACACCTGCCGATGTTAACAGGACGTACAGAAACAAGCACCTGCTGATGTTAACAGGACGTACAGAAACAAGCACCTGCTGATGTTAACAGGACGTACAGAAACAAACACCTGCTGATGTTAACAGGATGTACAGAAACAAGCAACTGCTGATGTTAATAGGACGTACAGACAGAAACAAACACCTGCTGATGTTAACAGGGCGTGCAGAAACAAACACCTGCTGATGTTAACAGGGCGTACAGAAACAAACACCTGCTGATGTTAACAGGACGTACAGAAACAAACACCTGCTGATGTTAACAGGACGTACAGAAACAAACACATGCTGATGTTAACAGGGCAAACAGAAACAAACACCTGCTGATGTTAACAGGACGTACAGGAACAAACACCTGCTGATGTTAACAGGACGTACAGAAACAAACACCTGCTGATGTTTACAAGACGTACAGAAACAAACACCTGCTGATGTTTACAGGACGTAAAGAAACAAACACCTTCTGATATTAACAGGACGTACAGAAACTAACACCTGCTGATGTTTATAGGACGTACAGAAACAAACACCTGCTGATGTTAACAGGGCGTACAGAAACAAACACCTGCTGATGTTAACAAGACATACAGAAACAAATGCCTGCTGATGTTAACAAGACATACAGAAACAAACACCTGCTGATGTTAACAAGACATACAGAAACAAGCACCTGCTGATGTTAACAAGACGTACAGAAACAAACACCTGCTGATGTTAACAAGACGTACAGAAACAAGCACCTGCTGATGTTAACAAGACGTACAGAAACAAGCACCTGCTGATGTTAACAAGACGTACAGAAACAAACACCTGCTGATGTTAACAAGGCGTACAGAAACAAGCACCTGCTGATGTTAACAAGACGTACAGAAACAAATGCCTGCTCGTGTTGGCAAGACATACAGAACAAGCATCTACCAATGTTAACATGACGTATAGAAACAAACGCCTGTTCATGCGTATTACATTACATTGTATATAAACAAGCACCCATAGCTGCTGATGCATACATCACATGGCGTACGGAAACAAATACCAAAATACTAACTGCAAGAAATAGCTTACAGCACATATACAATATCTATATGATAAAAAAAACGATTGGCACTTTGTCTTCAGGCAATCATCTGGCACAGCACGTTATATGACCCAGAATCTGTAGATATAATCTCAATACAGGCGCGGGCAAATATCAAGATGGATTCCCGTATCAGCCTAGATCAAACAGCGGGCGTGTTGTCACGTAGCCTCAGTGTTGACGTTACGCTGACGTAAGCTGTTGTTGATTCTCAGCTAATGACGTCACGCCACAGATTAACGCTGAGCACTAAGTGAGCGGTAATCACCTCCGCCACTAGGCCCTGCAAGGAATCCTGGCCTCCCAGTAACAAACCCCTTGTCCAAGTGTAGCGTCATACGTACCATATGGTAGACCTCGTGTCCGCCGGCGCAGCCACGAGATAAACCCGGAATATCAAAGCGACACAGTCACCTTTCTTGATTACTCCCTGCGCACAATACGTTTTTGTTGCGGTTGCTATTATCAAAATACAATGCAGTTCGTCAGCAATATAGACTGGGAGTTCTATAACACCGGAAACACGATGAACTGTGTTCTTATGGTGTTACCACGCCACATTTCTCAAAGAATATCAAGGACATACTTAGATTAAATTGGTCATATTAAATAGATGTCTCACCATATTTAAAACACTCTATTGTTAAACGATACATTATTTTTCAAAGGACAATTGTAGGTGTTATTCCAATGATTTCAAATTTTGTCGGAAAACATGTAGGCAGCGAGACTCCAATATCCGCATCCTGTAATCTGATGACGTGTAATAGGTGACATTGGCTGTGCGGCCACAAATGACAGATCGTTGTGAAAATAACCTTTTAAATCTTTCCAAATATTTCAAAGCCTGAGAATATAATACATCATGTTACCTATAACGATGTTCATATCAAATATTTAGATAAATCCTTTGAAGAGAAAAACTATTTTAAAAAACCAGAAGCATTAATGTACTTGTTCAGGGCTCTATATTTCCTATTACCCCCGTCAGCATGTACTAAAATCGTAAAAGCGCTTGATAAAATACTCGTTTAGGGGCCCATGAAAAAGCAAAGGGCCTTGTATCATGCATTATATAACGATCAACTCGCGACGGAGCTTCGCGCACGTGTATCATGATCATCAGAGTATTTCTCGTGCAGCCCGCAGAGCAACTCACACAGTATAAATAGAGACTACAAAGCGTTCTGGTCTATTTTTCAATATTTGCATAAAAGAATATTTTGTGTCAAAATCTAAAAGTAGGGAGGTATTTTAAGTTTGAGAAAATAGGGATGTGTTTTATATTAGAGGGCATATGAGCAACTGTCGGCTCGTATGTTCTTATAGCATTGAGATAATGTGATGTCGTCTTTTCCAAATATTTTTGTTAAAAACATAAAATCTACTACTGCTCCGTTATTCTATATATACAATGGATAATATCGACTCTGCAATCTGTCAATAATAAAAAATAATAACTCACAAACGTATTGCGTAAATTATGCAAATTAAATAACCTTAAACCAATTAATTTTGAGTTCCTTGTGTATAACTACAACACTGTGTGTAATTATACCCAGTGTTATTTTTTCAACTTACGTACGAGTATATCTTTACAGATGTTTTCCTTATTGGCAAATCACTGGGAAAACTGTTATCATAAATGTAATACTAGTCAACGATACCGAGAATCTATATACACACATGCTTGTTTGCTTGTTGTTTAACGCCGCAGTCAGCAATATTCCGGCTATATGACGTCTGTCTGTAAATAATCGAGTCTGGCCTAGACAATCCAGTGATTGATATCATGAGCATCGATCCACGCAATTGGGATACGATGACATGCATCAACCAAGTCAGCGGGCCTGACCACCCGACCCCGTTAGTCAAACCTAGGATACCTTATTTTATCTGATGTAGAGACAACAACTGCGTCACACACATTTCCACATTATCTATCCCAACCACGGACCTACTATATTCCCTCGATTAAAAGCCCGGGCTATCATTATTTTCAGTTTGTACTTTATAATCAGACCTAGTCCATGTAAGAGGTCTCCTTCTAGCGGCCCCATCTTCATTCCCATTGTGTATCTGGTCGGAGAGACGTATACAGAAATATGTTCAAACTGACTTATTTGATATTCAAATGTAATTGTGAGAAATCATTAGCTGTACATTTTGGTCTTATAGAGGTAATGCGTGTTTTATTGACACAAGAATAAACATATTTCACAGAACTGACTGCTCTTATTGCATGGTAAATGTATATAATCAAATTACTGTGATCAAGTTAGTGTGGTGGTGCTGGATTTAGATCGTGTGACCTATATAGTCCTTACTGTGTGGATTTTATTATTCTGCCACACGAGTATGTACATCGAAACTATGAACAAGGAATTTGGATAAATTTAAATTGATTTTCTCCAAATACACACAAGAAAAACTCCATTATAGTCAGAAAGACTATTTTAAATGAGCTTTGCATGCTGTTGTGAAGTCGGCAGTGAACTGGAGTTACCTCCCCTGTGTGATTTCACAATCGCAGGCAAGTCGGTGCTTTCTGTGTATGGTTCAATAGTGAGTTGTCAGGTAGGGTGTTGTTGGCGAGTTGTGCAAGGACACCCGTATATATACACCCAGGGGCCTACATCCCCATACAGGACCCGGGGGACAGGATGTGAGACCACACAGTCGGAGATCGGGATAAACAGGAGGACGCTGACAGTCGTCTGGACAAGAAAGCCATCTTACTTTCACTTTCACTTTGAGAGTGACTGGATGATTTAGTCTAAATAGCTTCAATATATCACTGGTGAGTACTTCTGTATTTACGACATGCATCATTCTTGATTGGGGAATATTGTATTTTATGAGCATTTATATGTGTTATATTACAATATCAGGGATACTGAGATAGTTGAAAACACTATTTACCAGTTCACTCATTAACGGGGGTGGTAGTGAACCTCATTTGTTCCTCTCATTAATTCATTAATTCCATTCATCTTATATAAATTTTGGAAGTCGCAAGAACAGTGATCTTGTTTTATGACTGATTGAAAGTAAGTGGTGGTTAATTTATAGAACTGATCTGGTACTCGTGAAATGTGTCTGATTTTGGTGAGAAACTAAATTAGAAAACTTTCTCCCTCCGCGTCAGACTTCTGACGAGACTCCTTCCACCATGGACACAAAGAATATGACTCCATGCTTCGAGCAATGAAGGGAAGATTTCCACTGAATCGTTTTTAATAGGATATAATTGAAACTAGTCCAGACCGTTTAATCCTTGAAAGCATGGGTTTATATCTGTGCAGTCGTAGTCTAAACTAATAATATTTTATTTTCCTTCCAGAAACCGTCCACCAAACTCAACATGTCTGAGGCCATTACGTTGACATCCATATCTGTAGGAGAAGCTCTCCGTATGTGCAAGACAACCACTGACATTGACGTCATCATAGAGTTGTCTAAACATGACAACCCTCAAGTCCGCCAGAGGGCGCTAAAGGAGATGTGTCCTTGCCGCGTTAAGAAGGACCTTGACGACTTCTGGCGCCGGGTGCTGCAGATGATTGACGACGAGGCAGACAATGTGCGCATGCAGGTTCTACACACGCTTTGTGACGGCTCCCCACAGCACATGGAGTTTTCCGTGGCGGAAGCCCTGGAGGTGTTTAACCATGACAGCAACAAGGTGATCAGGAGAAAGGCTCACAAGGCCCTGACGTCATACCGAATGAGAGGCAAGTGGAACATCATGTGATCGGGGAACAGGGAATCAGCATAGGGACAACTATGAAGGTTTCTGTTCCTGGCAGTAGCCATTCTACAGGCTCTGCCTGTCAGCAACACGGACACAGAAGTGATGTTGTGAACAGTCGGGATGAGCAGGGGAGTCAGAACTGCCTAGTTGTATATGTGACACTTGGTGGTTGTGTACTGTATGGCCGTCGTCCTCCTGCTTGTGGACAACTTTAGTCCTTCATCATTGTTATCCTTCCAGGACATTGACTGTATGCCTTGTTGATGAAGTAAACTGCTGAAGCTGACCTAACTTCGACTATGACACAATTTCATCCACAAACATTTGTGAAAAAACGTCATCGAAATGTGAAAACAAATTTGTCATGGATGACGGCCATGCTTCATTTGTCATTATCTCAAATTTACTCAAGCTTGATTTACGACTGACGTTATGTGATATAGAGTCATGACTGTATAAATGTACTGATGATATATTTTGTCATTTGTTTTATATAAACGTTCATTTGTCTGATACAAGGTTATTATTTCTCCATTTGATGCATCCATTACTTGTCATGGCAGACAGGAGAAGGGAAGGATCCTTGTCCCTATTTTTGTGTCAAGTGTCCGCACCACACAAGAAACGTTGATTATCGAAATTACCTTTCCCCAACACACACTGCCAAATCCTTTAATAGATCTAGTGGTGGTTATTGTAAGGCTGTGTGAAGGTCACGGGATTGGCTCTGTGGCTTGAACAGTTGATGGCAATTGTTGATTGAATCGGCCTATTTACGATTTCTATATGTTCCGTGTTTGACATAATTGCTCTATAGGTATATCGTCATTTGTTAATGTCACCGATAACCTATAGATTTTAATGCAAGCTCGGAGGTTCACACGAAAGTTTAACCAGCGCTTTTAAATCGTTCACACTTCAATGAACCCATCCAAACTTAAAATTTCATACTTTGTAGTTTACTGGTCTCGCCGAATAATATCGTAACAATGTTTGGTTGAATTTGAAGTCCTCTGGTTTCGCCGAAGAACATTGCAACAATGTTATTTTGTCGGTATTTGCCGGCTCTCGGTCACATACGTTTCCCCACTTATACTGAGTTACACATAGAAAAATAGTTCTTTGAATATATACAACATAATCTAGACATATGTCAACATAATTTAATTCTCTGAACAAATTTACAAACAATATTTTGGATAAATCAAATCTTAAAAATAGGATACAGGAAAGTGAACAAAAATATAAACATGACCTCGATGCACCGAGGCGAGGTCAACCTTCAAGCGCGGATTTATATATGACGTCACATAAGTTTTTAAAGAGGTGCTTTCCGAGTCGAACGGGAGCATGAGGATGACATTTATACTTACTGCTGTTGAAAATGAAGTTTATGGAGCAGGTATGGAAAACACCCCGACGCGTGAACCCTCTCATGGTACAAGCAAATTGGGAATATCACCGATTTGTGAATGTGTTACTTGTGTTTGGATAGTCGCAAACTAATTCGGACGATGTGGAATGGATTGGTGGGGATTGAACGGACGTTTACAACGTCAGGGTGTGTTATATTTGGAGTTTGGGATTTGTCGTGTGTGCTGTAATACTTTGCTTAGCAGGTGTTTCTTGTCACCTGAGATGGACCTACTGTATAACCTGTTGCCAGCTTCTTTTCTGTGCCCCGTCATTCCTCATGTGCCGCCGCTGCTCGGCCTAGAATGCACGGAGAAAGTCGGCCAACTCAGAATACGGATATTTTCTCGTGTCCGATAAAACAGGTAGGCAAGTGTTTTGGCAAAGATAAAGAAACGCGGGCTCCGTCCGTTACGTTTCGTTTCCGGAGCATAACTCAGAAACCGTTCAATATTTTTTCATGACACTTTTCAGGTCAGGTACATGCTGAACTGGTGCCTTTTGCAATTTAGAAATTTAAGAATTTTTTATTTTTTACGTTTTCATGGCAACAAGATGGACTTAAGTTTTTACAATTTCCATGACAAGTTCCTCCTCGGTTAACAAAGGTTAGGATTTGTTTAGATTTATTTATGTCAAAAATTCTGCATCAGGGGCGGGGGATTATTTAAGTTTCTTTCCTTACCTTTTTATGTTTCGTGGTTTCTCAAAATTCTAGATTTTTTTCCCGAAACGATAATGAATCGGGTTTTAGTTTGGGATTGATCAGGAGCAGTCGCTTTGATCTGTGTCAGCGGCCACATCTGAGCAGGGTACGACATTGTTTTCATCGGTGCTAGATTCCTGTCTTTTTCGAAAACAAGGCATCAAAGTCAATATCGCCCAATAAATCAATTTCGTTCACCACAGTAATTTTACAGAGTTCATTTTCTTCATTTCTCGTTATTAGATCTAGTATTGAAAGATAGCCATTCCATATCCAAATCACCGTCATTTTGTTTCATCTAGCATCTAGACGACATTAAACACCAGAACCAAAGCATTTATTTATTTTTAAGTCAGAAGGTTTTAAGGCAAAAATACTAAATTAATTATATTCCTGATAAATGCAGGGATTAAAAAGAAAATAGAAAAAACGAGTTGATTGTAAACACCGATCGAGAATTCGGGGAAACCCCGGAAAGTAGTTCCGGCAAAAGTTCACACGATCAATTTTACAAAACAATAGTTCACACCGTGTGAACCTTTCTGTCCGTTCACAGGAGTGTGAACTCCAAATATCAGATCACGTAACTACCCATTCAGCCAATCATCTTTAAAGAAACGTCTGTAAACTTGAAAGTATGAAATTATTGATAAAATTATGGAGAAAAAAAGCTCTCAGCGGATGTCACTGATTTACAAATAGCAACGCCACAGAACAAAACATATAGGATGACGTCACAAACATAAAACGTGACGCAAATGACGTCACATAGCAGGAGACGGGCTGCTATCTATTCTACATTCTATAGTTACAGTGGCCCGCAGATTTCTGATCACATGCGGGCATTTTTACGATAACTGTATCCATTTCAGCTATAATACATGTTTTAACGTTCACATTTGGTGCATTCCATTGTTAACATGTGTGTTTACATTAAGCGTTGTATCGGAAACATAGTAGTGGTCCTGTCATTAATACGGTTGTAAGCGTTAAGTTTTCATTTTGACATGACATGTGCGATAAAGATACCCAAAAGTGTCAACTTTTCGGCATAATAAATAATGTATGGTGTCATAAGTGGCCGAGTCTGTCTTACAGACCGTGATACAAATATATCAAATACAGCCCATGCAAGTCTATAATGTTTGGCAAGTCTAGATTTCTGCAGCATTATGAAGATAGTCTCTGGGCTCCTTTTGTATTATATTTTTATTAAGATAATTTACAACTGGTTCTTTTCTGTACGATATGTTCATTTCAGAGACTAGATGTTAGTCTATAAGTGGCCGTATACGGTGTCACATTAGGTTAGCAGAACAATAGCAGATCCACGTCGCCCCAATATCATATTTTTCTGCTTACCTAATATGACACTGTCTGCGGCAACTAAAGACACCCTAACTAATATCATTATGCCTCAAAGTGAGATTGACCAATCAGTGAGCAGAACTTCTGACCCCACGTGGGCCCGTATACCGTCAGTAAAATCCAAGATGGTTGTTACAGACCTATGACAGCGTATACCGTTAGTAACATCCATCTTGGATTTTCCAATACCCGCTTCACATATTTCACAAGAACATAGCAATATACTAGATACTAGTCCGTCGTTAGGAATTAGCGGACTGCTATCAAGTTAAAGTGGCCCGCCGATTTCTGATAACACGAGGGCATTTTTATGATAATTCTATCCATTTCAGCTATAATACTTGTTTAACCATCCACATTAAGTGCATGCCGCTGTTAAGTGAGTGAGTGAGTTTGGTTTAACGCCGCTTTTAACAGTATTCCAGTTATATCACGGCGCGTCAGCTTAATGTGAGAGTAAAGCCCCAAGTGATGCAGGTCTCAGACGTTTACCACTTCGGTGAAACCCACGAGCACGGGTATGGTGCTGACAAACCTAGAAACATAATCGGGGCGAACCAGGATTCGAACCCACAATCATAGGTTTCTGGCGTGCCCAAGGGACGCAACTCTGCACAGCGAATCGTGGCGCCTTAGACGACTGGGCCACCCGTGCCCCAGCCACTGTTAAGGTTTGTGTTTACATTAAAGTGTTGTATCGGAAACATGTACTGGTCCTGTCGGTTCTACAATGAGTGTAAAGTTTTCGGCCTAATAAATTCGTTGTGGTTTCTTAAGTGGCCGTATACGGTGTCATAGGTTAGCAGAAGCATAGCATATAACCTAATATGACACCGTATACGGCCACTAAAGACACCATAACTAATGATATGAAGTTGGTATTTCGTGATAAAGGACATATTTCCGTCTTCCGCAATGTCATAGAGATACGTGAGTGCTCGTGAGTACACATAAGAGGCGCAGTCTTATCAGAGGCGTTATCATTTCCACGTAACGAGCAACAAAGGACATGACGACGCAGACTGTATATCCCTGTGTAGTCATGATATCATGGTCCAATACAACATCACGATTTAAAGTCCCGTTGTACACCATAATAGAGCTCACAGAATATACATTTATTGCATTAAATATGATTTCTGTTATCATAATCGTGCGTGTGGACATTTACGCGACTGTCACCAAAACTACAACTATTTCCAATGATGTAATTAGAGACGTATTCGCTCTATGTAACATATGATTTATAAGTAGATTGACGTTCATAAGTAAGTCTATGATGAACTGTTGAAACATTCGTAAGTCTATGTTGGCCTGTTACGACATTCCTAAGTATATGTTGGCCTTTTACGACATTCGTAAGTCTATGTTGGCCTTTTACGACATTCATAAGTCTATGTTGGCCTGTTACGACATTCGTAAGTATATGTTGGCCTTTTACGACATTCGTAAGTATATGTTGGCCTTTTACGACATTCATAAGTCTATGTTGGCCTGTTACGTCATTCGTAAGTCTATGTTGGCCTGTTACGACATTCGTAAGTATATGTTGGCCTTTTACGACATTCGTAAGTCTATGTCGGCCTGTTACGACATTCGTAAGTCTATGTTGACCTATTACGACATTCATAAGTCTATGTTGGCCTGTTACGACATTCATCAGTCAAAGTTACAAGAAGTTTATTGTACAAAAGGCCTCCGGCCCATATACAGTAACAGAGAGTTACGCATGTAGATACAATCATAAATGTTACACATTGGGATATACACATTGTTTGATTACTTCATTTCTTTTGGCTAATGCATACTTAATATATTGAGAAAGATTTAATATATTAGATTCGTTCTTTGTCGTCAGCATAACTACAAAGGCGTTTATCGGTGACATTGCTATTAATTAATCTTTTATATATTTCTTTCGAAGATCATTGTAAAATGGACAGACAAAAACAAAATGATTTAATTTTCTATCTCTAGATCAAATAATGGACAAATTCTTTTCAGTTTTTCAATGGACAGTTTTCTTCC